TTTTTTTTCAGATAAATGGGGTTCGAACCTCGGCAAATCTCGAATGTGTTCGACCTTGACACTTAGTATATTTCTGAAAAACTCAAGGTTCGCACTTGACTGTAAGAGAGATACATAAAGAGTGAGATGACGAAGATAGTGGAAAACTGGGGAAAGAGAAGGGTAGAGAGCAGATGATGATAAGAGAGATGTGTATGAGACATATGCTTTATTCAAATTCAATATTAATACAGTATAATATAAAAATAACTCTTATCATCAATAACTCAAATAGCCGAGTGGTTTAAGCGACCGCATACTCGGTGAAATCACTCTGGAGGCACAAGTGAGGGGAATCCAGCTGAAGACAACGACGACCGACTCTGAAGTAAAAAAAATGGAGCCAGTGCTGGTGGCTGGCTATGGCAGGCGCAGAGAAAGATCCTGAAACGAAGACACAAAGTGATGGTCAACCTGAGGTTCATGATGCGACAGGTCACACGCAGAGGGACACATTGCGGAAGATGCCTGCAGAACACCCAGAATCTACCCAAAAACCACAACATGCAAAAAAAACGCAATCAAAAATGAAAAAAAATGTGAAAAAAGCGGAAAAAAGGAAAAAAAGGGGAAAGAGGAGGAGGAGGATGGAGGAAAGGGGAGGTGGAGCACCTCATGTACCTTGTACCTGAGAATGTATGGAGACTAGCGGTCAATGCAGTGGCGGATCCAGCTTCGGCGCTAGGGGGAGGTCATAATTCAAAGTTTTTAGTATGTAACAAATTAATATATATATATATATATATATATATATATATATAAATAGAGCGGGGCTTTTAAAGTTCCGCAGGTAGAAAGGTATACCACCGATATCTCAAAGACGAGTAAAGTTTTAACGATTTCTTAACAACAATATTTAAAGTAGAGGGAAAAATTGTACAACCAGCCATTCTTACAACGTTTAAAAAAGCATTTTTACAAGAGATAAATTAAATAAATATTTATTCCAACTCTGCTGATGAATATTTTGGACAAAATATCAAATCAAGGTTATATAGATAGAGTATCTCTTGTAAAAAATGTATCCATAAAATTTGGCTGAATAATGTTGCTAATATTTCGTTAAATTCCATTAAAATTAAAAATAATACTTGGGTTGTTTGTCTTCTCGCCGTCCGATTTACCACGCCCATGAGGTAAAAAAAACCAAGCGACAAATTTTTGAAAAACAGCAAAAGAAAACAAATTTCTACAGTGATGAATTAGCTGGGAGATGTACTAAACATAGTCAGATAGTTTTTTGTTTGATGTGTCTTATTTGTTACTATGTTTTTTCGTTTAGTTTTCACAATATAATTGCTCATAGTTAAATTGGACCCTCTTTACCCTATATATATATGCATTTTTTTAAAAATAATCTGCGTCTTTGCCGTGGTTCAATATTTGACCTTCCCTCGACGTTTTCTCGTCTGAACTGATGTTAAAATTATTACTATAAAATGAAACTGGATAAGCACTTGTGTTGATTGGTTTTGTGAGTCAATTGGTTGATTCGATTCTTTACTATTGGCAGAAAATTGCAAAAATTATCATTCATGTTTTTGTCAAAAATCAGGTTTTGGTGAAGATCGGTCAAATCGTTTCTTTTTCATAATAGATTGTTAATTTTTTATGATTTTGGTGAACTTTGCATGGCGATAGAGATTCTGCTCTAAATGAACATACTAACCTATATTAAGGCCTGCGACAAGTGATTTACTTTTGGATTTGGATTATTAAGTTTGGATTATTTGGCCGCGCTTTTTTAGAAAATTCACCGTATGTATTCGGTTTAGTATTTTGTATGTGTTGGTTTTCCACCTATGTATAGTTTAAAACCATTTTTCAACTATTTATTGGAATTTTGGCCTTGAAGCAAGTTACATGAACTTCCCGATATGTGCAAATAATCGACTTAATCAATAAAAAATAAATTAACTTAGGAGTGATTAAAATATTCCGAGTGGATTTATGACACATAATTGAAAACGAACAATCACGTTAACTCGGAGTATTTTCTAAAAGCAAATTTTCAAAAATCAAAAAATTCATGATTGAACCAGTTTCCGTAGACTTTAGTGGTTTAGTATGTTCATTAAAAACAAGTACTATATTGTTATACCAAGTAAATCATCTGATTTTAATTTAAACAAACGTCAAAAAACTACTCATTTTTCTCAAACTTTGATAAATTTTTAGAATTAAACTACTTGTCGTAAGGCCGTAATAATTCAGTAAGTTGTATAAGACCATGATATAATCGCCAAAAAAGTTCCATAAAAATCGGCTTATTTTTTTTTTAACTGTTAATTACAAGAAAACGGCTCGTAGATTTTCACCTTCGCAACTAATTTCTTTGGAACAAGCGTTTGATTTTTTAAAATCGAAATGTTGGCGAAAAGTTTAACACTTTTTTTCTAAATTACAAAGAAATGGCTCGGGCGATCGTCGAAAAAGCTGAGAAAAGATAATCCACATCAAAACATCGATTGGCTTTTAAATTTCAGAAATCGATTCAAGCGTTTTTGAGGCAAACGTCGATGGAAGGTTTAATTTTGACAAACGCCAAAAAAACGATACTAATTTTTGCAAAATTTGACGAATTTTTAAAATTAAACGACTTGTCGTAGAGCGGAAATATTTTAGCATGATCTATAAGGCAATGGATCTACCGTAAAAACAAATTCATAAAAATCGTCGCAATTTTTTTTAACACTTTATTACAAGAGAACGGCCCGGACGATCTCTACCAAAACTAATCAAGACGATTCCCAACCAATATCTATCAAACGGTTTTTAAATTTTCAAAATCGATTCAAAATTGCGGGCTAAACGTGAACGAAACGTCGATTTACG